CTACTATTATTGCCATACTTACCCATCCCATTGGGTGTTCGCCTCTACCAATAAGCAATGGGTCCTTTAGAGTAGAAACAATTTCTTACTTGTTTTTGGTACTGCCCTAGGACTGGTAGATGGTGGGTACGCAATACATCTTTACTGAATCACATCTTATTAGATTTTTGTCTAATAGTTTCTTATGAGTAGATGATAAAACTTACTGGTATTGTGCATCAGCCTGGGGACCGATGCCATGTAAACACACTGTCACTTAATCCCTATTTGAGATATGGGCCTAAAGGGTCATTGTAGGACGTGCATGAGCTCAGGAGTCATTCAGGCCTACATTCTGTTTGGGGTTCAAATGTGATAATATTAAAAGAGAACTGGAAATAAACTTAGGAGAAAAAGTCAAAGCAGGAGTCCTCACTCAAGTTCATAGGATGCTCTTAGGGCTTTGAGTTGGCGGCCAGATGTCACTGGCATGGTGGCTTTGCTTTGTGTTTCACCCCGAGTCAACTGAATTAGAGAACCTCTGGAAGCCATCCTGCTTCCGTCCCTCAGTCTCTCAATATGGTTGTAGGTGGGAACCAGGAAGAAAAACTATTTCCCCTATCTCGTTTACTAGTCTGGTGTATTCAAAGAGTTTTCTAGGTTTGGTACGGGCCTGGGTTCTGGTTGTGGCCTGTTGAACTATTAAAGGGTAGATAAGACCTTATGGGCAGAGGGTAAAGGTTACAGCATAAGCTGCTTCCTCTGATAAGTTTCCCTCTACCTGTGATAAGGCTGTGGGCATTACCGGGCTGGGGCATGACTGGTAGGAGGAGCTTGGGGTCACTGTAACTTTGACTCTGGTCATATTGTAGAGGAAGTCGCTCTCTCTTAGTCAGATTTGCTTCATGTTATGAGCTGGTTTGCATGGCACAGAGGATGATGCCACAGAGCCCAGTAAATTTCTTAAGAATCTGCTGGCCAAATAATTTATATCCTAACATATGTTTTCTCTTTTTGTAGGTCATAGCTGAAGCAGGAGTTAAATTTTGGTCCTTGTGAAAGAGTAGTTCTTAACCTTGGCAGCACATTCGACTTCTCTGAGGGTTTAAAAAAAAAAAAAATTCCCTGAGCTTTACTCCAGTCTGACTGAATTAGAATCTCTCGAATTAGAATTAGAAGGAAATAAATAGGAATTCTAAGAAAACTAAAAGACAAGCCACAAACTGGGAGAAAATATTTGCAAAATCACATATCTAATAAAGGAATTGTATCCAGAATGTGTAAGAAAAACTTAAAAGTTAATAATAAGGAAATGAAGAATCCAATTAAAGAAAGGACAAAAGATTTGAACACTTCATCAAAGAAGATGGATGGCAAATAAACACATAAAAAGATGCTTTAAATATTAGCAATTAGGGAAATGCAAATGAAAACCACATTGAAATATTTCTATATGCCTTTTAAAATGGCAAACAAACAAAGCAACAACAAAAAGCAGCAGCTGACAATTCTGAGAGCTGGCAAGGAACAGAGCAACTGGAATTCTCAGGGATGGCTGGTGGGAATGAAAAATAATACAGTCACTTTGGAAAAGAGTCTAGCAGTTTATTATAAAGTTAAACCTCCACTTACCACACAATCTGATAATTCCACTCCTAGGTATTTACTCAAGGGAGCTGACAACTTGTGTTCACACAGAAACCTGTACATAAATATTTGTAATGGCTTTATTTGTAATGATCCCAGACTGGAAGCGACTCAATTCAACATTCAACTAGTAAATGGATAAATAAACTGTAGTATATCCATACAATGGGGTACTAATAAAAAAATGGAACTACCCACTGATATATACAATATGAATGAATATTAAATGCTTCATACCAAGTGAAAGAAACCAAACTCAAGAGGTTATGTACTGAATGATTCCACGTATATGACATCTTGGAAAAGGCAAAACTATAGGGACAGAAAACAGATTAGTGGTTGCCAGGGGTTGAGGGTGGAGGAGAGGAGATTTGCAAAGAAGTAACATGAAGGAATTATTTGGGGATGATAGAACTCTTCTGTATCTTAATTCTGGTGGAGGTTACATAATTATAGGTGTTAGTCAAGTTCATAGAGTTGTATATCTAAAGGGCTACATTTTACTGTATGTAATTATAACTCAATAAAATTGACTTCTCTCCCTCAAACCATTCTTTAGAAAAAAAAAGTTTCCCCAAGTAATTTAAATTTATAGTCAACATTGAAAGATGTTGTTGGTATAACAAATTTGAATCTAAGTTCTGGTATTTAAATTTCAATTTTCTCACATGTAAAACTGGAGAGAATAAAACCTATCTTGAAGAGATATCATTATTTTTTTAAAGATTTATTTACTTGAGAGAGAGAGAGAGAGAGAGAGAGAGAGAGAGGACCTGTGGGAAGAGGGAGAGGGAGTGGGGGGAGAATCTCAAGCAGACTCCCTACTGAACGAGGAGCCCAGTGTCATGTGATGCGGAGCATGATCTCATGACCCTGAGAACATGACCTGAGCTGAAACAAGGAGTCTTATGCTCAACCAACTAAGCCACCTATGCATGGCACCAAGATGTTACGAGTCTTAAATGTGATGTTGTATGGCAAGCTCTGAATACAGAGTTTGGTACACAATAATAATAACTGCTTATTTAGTGCTATGTGCTAGACATTGCAGCAGGCACTTCCAGGCATCTCTCATTTTCACAGTGATTCTGAAGGTGCTATTGTTCTGACCATTTTCAAAGTGGAGAAACTGAGGCTCAGAAAAGTTATGGAACTTGCTCAAGGTCTCACAGTTATCAGGGGCAGACCCAGGTTCTAAAGTACCTGATTGTGGGAGAGGCAGGGGTTTTCTCTTGGTGCTTGGTGCAGTGGTGAAGACACCAGTGACAGGGCAGTTCCAGGGCCTTCAGTAGAGCTGGGCCAGTGGTGTGTTGGTAAATGCTTAGCAACTGACTCTCTGAAAATAACCAACCAACCGACTGACCAACCAACCAATCAAACTCTATTTGGAGCATTTGCTGATTTTTGTGGTACAAATGCTCCCACTATGGCCAATTTCAAGTTAACAACATGACCCTGTTGAATGCAAAGTTAGGGAGAGGTGTGTACAATTAGGACTCTTACAGCAGGTGGAAGCTGGTCCCAACAGAGCACTGACTGGGTCAGCCTTGGGTCCTCCATATGAGAAGCAGAAAAGTCTGGGTTATATAATGCTATGGGCACCTTGACTGGGCGACAGCCTTCCAGAATGCAACCGAGCCTGGATCTGGTTTCTAAATGTAATGTAGTGCTGTGAAGGATGCGGTGTGGGTGATTTGTTTGCAGGATTCACTGTAGTTTGGAGGACGGGACCATAACAGAATGGACCTAGAGGAGAGTGGTCAGTCTGCATTAACTGGATAGGACTCTTAGTCCTCTGCTCTGTGCTTTTGGTGGGACCCCTGGTTATATGTCTGTCTCTTATCCTACTTTGCTATTTTTGTCCTCTAGATCTATAAATTTATAGTGAATAGGAATCTGGCAACTTCCTCCAAATAGTTTCTTTGGCAATAAGCTTAGAAATGATTGCAATTGGGTTAAAGGCATTTGAAGTATCCACAGAATTCACCCATGTGAATAATTTATTTTCATTTATAAGAAAAGAGTCCTCTTTTCTGAAGGAACCTCAATTATTAGGCTATCGATACATCTTAGAGATGACTTCAGGAAAAGGGATCGTTATATAACCAACAGAAGTAAGCCATGATGAGAGAGAAATAGAATCAGTCTAGAATTATTTCCCTCATTAAGTTAAAAAGATGTCAAATATAAACCGGTGCACTTTCTGGTTGTGTGTTCCTGGCCTGTGCATTCCCCACGGACGAAGGCTAGTCTGGACATACAGTATCTATGTAGAACTTTTCTTGTGATGATGGCATGCATTAGTACGTGGGAATCCGGAAGCACGCGAGCATTCTTGCTTCCGAAGCAGTGAAAGAGGCCATGAGGTTTCCTGCCAGGACATGACTTGACCCACATGATTTGCCACCAAAAACCCAGCAAAACTTCATGCAATATAATGCTCGAGAAGCAGGATATGTTCTTTTCTCCTTCTTTTCCAAGTTATTATCTATTGACCTATTCCTGGAAAGAGGATACTGTGGATCACAGCTCAAGAGAGAAGGAGGGAGAAGGAAAAGGAAAATAGGAGAGCCATTTCACAAATTATCAATATATAAGTCCTGGTACCTTATTGACAAAATGAGTTTGATGATTCTTTCTCAAGGGGAGCGATGGCACTGGTTGAACTACTTCTGTAGGATACAATCTGTTGAAGCGCTTGTGGCAGATGGTGCTTTGTGATTCTCATGATGGTTCTATATTTCCTAGCTTGGTTTCCTCCTGCTTGGGGGTCACAATGCCAGTTTTTGGCTCATCAAATCCCAATCATATCAGATTAATGACTTGTCATTTTGCTCCTCTGCTTACCCCTTATGTATTATTTATAATCCTCGCTATATCCACTTCCCCACAAAGGGATTGACCTATCTTCCATTGAAAGGGAGAGTTATGATAAAAATGGAGCTATTAGGACATGACAGGGAATGAGAAGTTGGGAGGAAGCCGGGCACCAGATTAATAATTTGTATCAAAAAACAAGCAAAGGGGCGCCTGGGTGGCTCAGTAGTTGAGCATCTTTCTTCGGCTCAGGGGATGAGCCCGGGGTCCTGGGATCGAATCCCACATCGGGCTCCCCACAGGGAGCCTGCTTCTCCTTCTGCCTCTCTCTGTGTATCTCTCATGAATAAATAAATAAAATTAAAAAAAAAAAGAAAAAGGAAGCTACTACAGTTGAGTCTTGAACTCCCTGGCAGTCAAGGCCGAAAAGGAGCCCAACGACCCCTTTGCTGACACTTCATACATCTCACTAATGAACATTCTTGAAGTGCAGGATGAGCAGTGACAGACTGGCAAGCACACTTTCCACAGGCCTTCCACTGTACTGAGACACTCACCTGATAATATGGATGCCACGGCTGCAATGATGAAGGACACAATGACACCAGGTCCTGCCATTTCCTTGGCTACCAGACCAGACACCACGTACATCCCAGTGCCCACACAGCTGCCAACGCCAAGTGAGATGAGGTCCATGGTGGTGAGCACCTGGGCTAGTTTGGTGCCATGGGCTGTGGTAGCCCCAGTTCCCTCAAGCATAGACTCCACTGGTTTGGTGCGCAGGATCCTGGAGTGCATGGCATACCAGGCGGCCCCCCACTGAACCCGCCGGGGGTCCAGGGAGGCAAGGAAGCCACTCATCCTGGGTGATAGGGGTTGCGGTGAAGGTCGACTGATGGAAGAGGGCTATGGGAGCCTTAGTGGATGCTTCTGGAACTCATCTAGTGAGCAAGGATCTCCTTTTTAGGAAAGGTCCGGAGGGACCCAAAGCAGCCTTCTTCTGGGCATGAATGCCTGTGGAAAAACACAAGAAGGGAGATGATGAGACCGAGCAGGAACAGGCTTTCACTTGGAGGTGTGGTTGGAGGTCAATATACTGAATTGGTTGAGTGGGTCTGTCTTGTGTACTCATAATGCAGGAGGGTTGCCTTTCCCCTTTTGTGTGGCCTCCAGTCCAAAACAACAATCTGTCGTTTGCACTGTGTCCCCAAGTTGTTCTGAAGAAGAAGGTCTGAGTCAGAGCTCTGCTACTTACTGCTGTGGGACCTTGGGTAAGTTACTCCACTTCTCTGTGCTTCAGTTTCAACTGTATAATGGGGATAATAAAGCCTCCTGCCTAGTGTTGATGTGAAGATTAGATTAGTGTCTATAGAGAGCTTAAGACAATGCCTGGCACACGGAAAAAACTCACCTGTTCTGGGTCTGCCAAGACTTGGTCTGTAATTTGGGGGCATATTCTCTGGGGACACAACATCCTCGTTTTTCCAAATACAAAGACTTGTGACTTTCAAGAGGGACGATCTCACCCCATCGAGTTGTTTTGGAACTTTGCTCTCAAATAAAATGAAAAACCGTTTTGAGCATTGTTTGCTCTCCGGGATTGAGGAAGAGGAAATGTTTCTGGCATGTGGTGGGTGAGCCCCAGAGGTGCTAACCTGATTGGTGTCATCCAATTTTCAATAATCTCACAGACATTTTTGTAGATGAAAATTCTGGTTATGATGATCCAAATGTAAAACCTAATTGTTTCATGTATAAACACATGGGGTTTTTCAGGAATGGTTTTAATACACAAGTGCTTTGACTTTTCCAGGAAAGCAACTATAGAGTAAATGAAAGGATGATTGTAAATTCTTTGGTCTGGAACCGAAAAGGAATTCTTCATTGCTTCAGAAACTCAAGGCCCCCCCTTACAACGCCACCCATGGTACAGCACCTCCCATGCAGCACACCTGTGACAGCCTGCCGTTTGGAACTGGCACGCGGATGGTGATCCCTTATATAGTAAAAGCATCTGACAGCTCCCTGTGTGCTGGCCTGTGTTTACACACTGAGATATGTTATAATACACGTAGCTTATTCATGCATTTTGCTTCAGGATATTAAAGAGAAGTATAACCAAGCCTTTATTACAGAAAAGAGGTGCTGGGCCTGATAGAGCTGAGAACTATTATGTTAGATGATTTCCAAAGTTCTGACAAGTTAGAGAGTGCAAAGACGAGATGAAGCTACCTTCTTTGCAAGGCGGAAGCGTTACACAATTCTACAAAGAGCTCCTAAGGTACCGCATAACACTGATTCCAACTACTGTGCTGACAAGCCTAGGACATTTACATTTATAAGCAGTACCAGCCCCTGTAATCTACCAATATTATTAATTAATACTACTTAGCACTTAATGTCACACTTGTCTGCTTCTAGAGGCTTTGCAAACACAACCTAATTAGAAGAATCAGGTGAAATGAGGTCGTTTGGTTCACAGAGGTTGAGGGATGGACCTACTGGCTTAGTTTCCTCCTAGATTTGACAGTGTTGCTTCATACTGTGTTTTAATTCTTGACAACACCTTCAATATCACCACAGGTGCATAGTGCCATTGTATACAGCAGTCATTTCAAAGCCTAGCGTGTCAGCAGTCTTTTCCCTTCCCCCCCCCCCTTTTTTTTTAAGATTTCCAGATTTATGAGAAAATGTGTCACATATATACCAGGGATGCTGCAAGAACAATTGCTTCAACTGAGCTCTTGTGAGAAATTAATGTATATATCTATTTAATTTCAAGTTAGCCAGTACATACCGAGCATCTGTTATGTGCCAGGCATGGTGTTAGGCTTGGGGGCGGGGGCGGTGCAAAGACATGGTTTCTGCTCTCATGGAGCTGTAAGTCTAGAATGGGAGGTGATGAGCACCTCAATCACAATGCAAGGAGTAAGGTTTGTTTTTGCTTTTTTCCTGGAAAGCTTGTCTTTCATTATTTTTCTTATTATAGTCTGTCTATTGCAGAAAAATGAGACCACATAAACAGTGATGCTCAGTGAAGAAAGAATATAACACATTACACAGGATGACAGATAAAACCGGATCATTCCAGGGAGGGAGGAGGGATGTGTTAGATGTTGAGTCCCATCCCCCTTGGATTCCTATGCTGGAGCCTTCTCAAACCCTAGCAGTCACAATGCCCCCTTATTTGGAGATAGTGGTTACAGATGTAATTAGTTCAATGAAGTCATCTGGAATAGGGTGGGCACTAATCTCCTATGACTGATGTCCTTGTAAAAAGAGGACATTTGGGCACAGACAGAATGAGGTGTATCTTCACAGAAAGCAGAGGCCAGGGGGATGCATCTAAAAGCGAAGGAAGACCGAGGATTGCCGGCAAACCACTAGAAGCTGGGAGGGAGCCATGGAGTGTGCATCTTCCTCACAGAAGGGGCCAACCCTGCTGCACCCTCATCGAAGACTTTCAGCCTTCGGAACTGGGAGATGATACGTTTTTGTTTTTAAGACACGTAGTTTGTGGTGCTTTGTTAAAGCAGCCCTAGCAAACTAACACTGGTCGTGAAGGATACAAAACAGGGGGCTGAAGGGGTGAGCGAGGGTCTGTGCGGCCATGGCATTGGCATTGGCCCCCGAGTGATGGAGACACCCTCTGGGATACTTGTCTGATCAGCCTTCATCAGAAACTGTCACAAGGACACGGAGAAATGAAGCAAGCTTTGTTAGGGAGGTGACGGCTTTTATCTGACAGATAATCAGAAACGTGATGTAGACATAGAGAACCAACTGGAACGAAGGTTGAGGGTGGTGAGTGTTCCTAGCTCTGTTCCCTCTGTAATTCCTCTGAGTGTTTGCTTTATTGATGCAAACAGGGACTTGGGGCATTTTCTTTCTTGGTTGGAAATGTACTGGAGAGAACAAAATGTACGAGAAAACATGTTTCCAAGTGACTATTGACAATATCCATATTCATTACCCTCAGATTATGTTAATCGAAGATAGTTTTGGAAGCTCTTTGCTGTTGTCTTTCCAAGATGAGCAACAAATGTGTGTTGTGCTTTCTCTACCACTTTAATTCAAGTTTCTCAAAATACTTCACAGCTATAACTAAGAACGGCTTACAGGGCCCCTGGGAGGAGAGAGTCATCATTGTGGTGGTTGCCGGCGTGCTTGAGGGTTCAGCAGACTCCATGTGTGATGATGGTAAAAGCAGGTTTGTGTCAGGATGAAAATAATCACGGCCTGGGAGTTCACTGAATAGGTAGGATTATCGAATTAGGTTGGAGCCTGCCTTTGGAGGTGAGGAGAGGAAGGAAATGAAGCCTAACAAAACAGTAAACAGCCCCACATCACTCCAGCTTGATTTTGCAAACACACCAGGGGATTACAAAAAAATTCGTCCTGTGACATCCCCTGGTTGTAGCTGCCCAGCCTTTGGCGGAACATCTGGAGCAGCAGGGAACATGGGCTGTTAGAAGCAGCCCCTTTGCGGAGTCTGTCGGTTAGGATTGCTGCGAGGTTCTTCTCATCGATGTCCCCTGGCAACACCAGGCCGCAGTTGGCCCTGAAGGTGCCTGGTTTGATGAGGCACAGGCCTGAGCTCCCCCGACCTACTCCCGTATCCTGGAGTCTGGTGCTAACCCTCCTCCCCACTGACCTGCTACTTCTCTTCCTCTGGGGCTGAGTTTCTGGTTCCAGAACATAATTCAGGACTCGAGTTCTCTGGGTCCAAATTCTGGCTCTGCCCTTACTAGCTAAGTGACCTTGGCTGGATCTTTTTTTGTGCTTCAGTTTTGCAATCCATAAAAAAATAATGGTACTAGCTCACGGGGTTGCAGTGAGGAGCACACGCCTTAGCATGAGTGAAGCTTCTAGCACAGCGCCCGGCACAGGGTGAGGGCCACGGGAGTGCTAGCCAGCATCTCCTTGCTCCTCAACCCCCGACTGCTGAGAGCCCCTTTCTACTGCTTCCAGTTCCCCAGGCAGTTTTCAGAGCACCTTTGGCCTGCTGCCCAGGCCTCACCCAGAGCTTTTCTCTGCTGGAGCTCCCTTGGGTGTCTTCTGGCTGCAGACTCTATGCCCTGGTTCCTTCCTTACAAGGATGTGTGTTCCCCTTTCTGGTGCTGGTGGAGAGCGGCCTTCTCCTTTCCTGTGTCTCATGATCTAAACGGGCTTCTTAGCAGATTTGCTTGGGCCCTTGGGTGTTAACACCACTTCTCATTCTTTCATGCCTTTGAATTTTCTCGGCAAGAGGCGCACGCACGGGGAGGTGGCTAGGACAAGGGGGTTCACCTACAGTCATCGCCCCATCCCTGAAAACATGCTCCCCTTTGGACCTTGACGCCTGCCACTTACTGCAGCTCGCTCAGCCGGAGTCCTTGACGTTGGGATTTCTGCTGACGCCCTTGCTTCTGTTGCTCTTCTAGTCCTTCCAGGCCTTCCAGATTCGGCTCTGTGTCTGCGCTCGGACTGGATGACGCTTGCCTGTCAGCGGCTTTACCTGTTTGCTGGGTGGCCTGGGACGGGTGTGTCCCCATCCCAGAGTCTGCTCCACCCAACAGAACATCCCAGTACGTGGAATCGAGAGCTGCGTCCTGGTGGCTTTCCCCTATCATCCCTGGTTTTGCTCTCCGTTATCCATACAGATTAGGAGGAAAGGGCTTCATGTTGTCGAAGGCAACGGACGTAACTCTTGGGAGTTTTATCTTCCCCAGACGAAACATCTTCAATTTCTTCAGTGATCAGCCGGGTCTCAAATGGTACAGCTTCCAGATCAATCCCGTTTTGACTTCTACTTCTCGGGTAGGCTGCAGTTTATCACTGTTGACATTTTGGGACCATGACAAAGCAGTTAAGGAAGATGT